AAAAATGTCCGGTTGCACTCAACAAATTTACAAGTTTAGAAATGCGTTTATTTCTAATAAATTCACTACATAAGACCACCTTATGTGAGTCTGAGATCGAACACTCGCGACTTTTCGAACGTTTTCTATCTTAATTTTCCTTTTTCGCTTCGTATCAAATTCAAAGAACTTCTGGCTCCGGAATCGAGGAAGCGCTTTATATACGCTGCTTGGTTTTGCCTTGGTGGCTCGAGAGGGGCACAGAGCGCTTGTTTAGAACTTTGAAAGAAACGGCTATGTAACCAAAACAAATATCGGCCTTGTTGACAGATAAACGATGATTGAACGGACGGTAATATAAATAATGATTTTCATGCGATCGCTAACATACCGCCCGCCTCGAAATTGTCGTTTCGAAAACATAAGGCATAGGCATTGAAGAACTTGTAATAGATAATGACGAGAAATAATAAAATAAAGAATAAAAGTTATAAAAAAAAAAAAACTTTACTTGAACAAGGGTCGAGATGACTGGTATGTGCGTTACAATAATCTAAACAGGACGTGCGGCTTGCGCGTCCGTCTTCTCGATGTCAATCGGCAACAGGCAGATTTTTGCGATCGGGCGCTTGTATTCGGAAGATGCTGTTTTGACAGTCACGACTCGCACCAGGCTATCCGTGCCGGCGTGACAACAAGTAATTCGTCCGAGCTCCCATTTACATGGAGGGAGCTGCTGATTTCGCAATAATACAAGCCTACCCGGCTGAATCACGTCTGGTGATAGCTTTTTCCACTTCATTCTTTGCTGGAGAGTGTTGACATAATCCGCCTGCCAGATTTTCCCAAAACGCTCAGTCAGGTGCCGGACGATTTGCCAGCGCGATAAGCGATTCTCATTGATGTGGAGGACGGAGGGCTCTGGGCTCGTGGTGAGCGCAGCGCCGATGAGAAAATGTCCGGGTGTTAGCGGTTCATAGTCATCCAATGTATCGGTCAGAGGCGCGAGCGGCCGCGAGTTTAAGCATGCTTCGATGTTACATAGGAGAGTGGTCGCTTCCTCAAAGGTCAGGGTGTGAGATCCCGCCACTCGGCGCAGGTGGTGTTTGACGCTTCGGACACCGGCTTCCCATAATCCGCCGAAATGAGGCCCTGATGGCGGAATGAAATGCCATGTTATGTGATCGGCTGCTGTGCGATTTTGAAATTCTGGATTTCGTAGGGCCGCGCGAAATGCTACGGTGAGTTCGCGGTCGGCACCGACGAAGGTGAGTCCATTATCGGAATACATGGAGCTAGGCAGTCCTCGTCGTGCACAAAATCGCTGATATGCGCTCAAAAAGGCGGAAGTAGAATACCCGTCGACTAGTTCGAGATGAAGGGCGCATGTGGCTAAACAGACGAATACGGCAATGTATGCTTTTCTGGAAGCGATGCCGCGACCGGACATCGGGCGTACGAGCATAGGGCCGGCGTAATCTATGCCACAATGAGAGAATGCGCGTGCCGGCGGAGTGACGCGTACCTGAGGCAAGTTTCCCATCAGCTGGACGGGCGTTGCGGCCTTTTCGCGGGTGCAGACCACGCAGCAGCGAACTACGGATTTTACTAAGTTTCTGGCGCGTAAGATCCAGAAGTCGCGACGCAAGGTAGCGAGAGTTAATTGGAGGCCCGCGTGAAGTGACCTTAGGTGGGCACTCCGTATAATCAGTACGACCAATGAATGTGACGCTAACACAACCGGATGTTTGGCTGAGGTTGAAAGGTTCGCGTTGAATAACCGCCCGCCAACGCGAATTAGTTTGTCTTCGCCGATGAACGGGTGGAGAGAAGACAAGGCGCTTTTCGCTGGTATCTCTTCTTTGACCAATAAAGTAGTCTTCTCGCGGGGAAAGACTTCGCTTTGAATTTGCTTGAGCCAGAAATCGCGAGCGGTTCGGCATTCGTTTGCTGACAACGCGATGGAAGTTTTTTCGAGCGCGCTGCGAGGCGTAGCGCGTTTTCGGCTTTGAGAGGCGTATCTCATTATGTACGCGGTGATTCTTATGAGTTTCGACCATGAGGAATATCGGGAAGCTAAGTCCCATGGCTCGACGGACTTCGCTAAGTGAGTAGTCGCGTGATGATTTGGTCGTGGTCTGTTTCAAGAGCTGCCGGATCGACCTGAGAGGGCCAGTCCGCGCCTGCGAGGCGCAACCACGCAGGTCCTTGCCACCATAAATGGTGTGACAATAACAGATTGCCCGAGATGCCTCTGGAGGCGCAATCGGCGGGATTATCGGCTGTTGGCACGTGTCGCCATGAGGCTGAGGGTAGCCGTGATTGAACCTCCGAGACTCGATTGGATACGAATGTCTTCCATTTGGAGGGATGTTGGTTTATCCATGCGAGTACGACGGTGGAATCGGTCCAGCAGTGACAGGGTACGGTGCCGAGATATAGCGAGCTGCGCACGAATTCCACGAGGCGAGACAGTAGTACCGCAGCAGATAGCTCCAATCGGGGTATGCTGAGCGTCTTCACTGGTGCGACTTTAGATTTGGCCACTAATAACCTTACTGTGACGTATCCTGAGAGAGATATGAGTCGGATATAAACTGCCGCAGCGTAGGCGGCATTGGACGCGTCGGCAAATCCGTGAATCTCGCAATGCGTTGTATCGGCGCCGCGTTGGATCCAACGTTCCAGCTGAAGACCGTTTATATCGTTGAGTGACGATTGAATAGTTTCCCATTGAGACGCAAGTGCGGGTGGAATTGCCTCGTCCCAGTCGACCTTTTGTTGCCATAAGTGCTGTAAGAAGATTTTTGCCGCGATGGTGACGGGAGCACTCCATCCTAATGGATCAAAAATTTTAGCGATTGTGGAGAGGATCGTGCGTTTGGTTTTTGGAATCGATGCGGGAAGCGACACGTTGAATTGAAATGCATCGAGAGTCGGGTTCCAGCTGATGCCGAGAATTTTAAGCTGCTCGTCAGTTTGCAACGTTTTGCTGCAGGCGAGGCCGTTCTCTTCCGCTATATCACTTAGCAGCTTGTATGAATTGCTCGACCACTTGCGTAAATCGAACTTACCCCGACTTAACACTGCGCAAACTTGATCGCGAATCTGTCGCAGAAGGGGTATGTCGTCAGCTCCGAACAGAACGTCGTCCACGTAGGTGTTGTCCTGCAGGACTTGAACAGCTAACGGAAACTCGTGACCCTCATCGCGCACAAGTTGCTGCAGCACGCGCAGTGCTAAAAACGGAGCGGATGCAGTTCCGTACGTAACTGTCAAAAGCTGAAATTCCTGGTCGCATTCGTTGGAGCTATCGGTCCAGATAATGCGCTGGTGATCGACGTCGCGAGGATCAACCAGGATTTGGCGATACATTTTTGCAATGTCGGCGGAATAAACGTATCGACACTGTCGCCAGCGCAGTATGACGGCTGCTAAGTCGGCTTGTAATTTGGGCCCAGTGAGCAAATGATCGTTTAGAGAGGTATTATTCGAGGTGCGACTGGACGCGTTAAATACAACTCGGAGTCGAGTGGTGCTACTGCTCTCACGAATAATAGGGTGGTGCGGAATGTATACGTGTTGACAAGAGGGTGCCGAGGCGGTCGTAACCTTTCGCATGTGTCCGAGCTCTTCATATTCGCGGAGAAATTCGAAATATGCCTCTTTCAAGCCGAGATTCGTGCTCAGTCGACGACGCAGCGATCGGAGTAGACATGCGGCTGTATTGCGCGATTTGCCGATTGCGATTGGGGGGCCCTTTTTGAACGGAAGACGGACGATATAGCGCCCGTCGGAATTGCGAGAATGCGTAGCGCGAAAATGCTCCTCGCACTGTTGTTCTTCCGGGCTTAGCGATATTTGTCGAGGTATCTCTTCAACCTCCCAAAATTTACGGAGCTCTTGATCGAGAGTGAGCGAGCTCGAGCAGTGTTGCACTGTGAATTTTCGCGACACACTTTTAGTGGACGTAGGGCCGGAGATCACCCATCCGAATATTGTGTTTTGAGCGATGGGCTGACCTTGCTCGCCTTTTCGAATTCCGTCGAGGAGTAAGTCGCTGAATAAGTCCGCGCCGATAATGACATCAATGAGGTCGGCGTTCACTGGGTCTGGATCTGCGAGTTTCAGATCGGCGAGATGACTCCAGTGGACTTCGGGTGACACCGGCGCTGGAGAATAGTTCGTCAATGAGCGTAAAACAAACGCGGTAGACATGAGAACCGGACGGATTGAATCGCACGGGCAGAGCTGAATATTGACCGCGTACCGACACGTGCCGGCATTAACGCATCCGACGGCAGAGATGGATATAGGAGTTTTGATTCGACGTAATCTTAAACTTTGCACTAGTCGCTCCGTTATAAAGGTCACTTCGGACCCTTGGTCTAACAACGCTCGCACTACAAGATAGCGACCCGATGGAGATCCGATTCTAACACGCGCTGTCGCGAGGAGAACAGACGGTCTTGAAGTAATTCGTAAAGTGGAGAATAAGGCATTCACGGGAGCGAGTTCTATTTTCTCGATCGGTGAGGTTGCGGAGGTTGGCGCAGCCTTCGGGATCGGAGATGCCGTAGAATCGCTGTGAAGCATTGAGTGATGCTTCGCCTGGCATGTTCGGCAAGAATATTTGCTGGGGCATGCAGGCGTTGCGTGTTTCGCGCTCAAACAATTGATGCATCGCTTTGCTTGTTTTATTGTCTCTAATCGTTGGCTGGGACTCTTTTTAATAAATTGCGGGCATTTGTTAATAAAATGCGATTCTTTACAGAGAGGACACGCGGTAGGTAATGTCGCGGAAGTCGTAGCGCTCAGGACTTTCGGTGATCGCGACGATTTTACGGCGTGGGGAGAGGTAAGCTCCTCGAGAGCGCGAGAGCGAAACGCAATAAATTTGTCGAGATCTTCATACGTTGGTATTTCACGATCGTCGCCTTCTTTCAGCTTCCAGGCTTTCCGTGTAGCGGGATCCAATTTTTGAGTCAGGCAGTGGACGAGCATGTCACTGAGAATCTCTTCGGATAAACGGTGCATATTTCGGAGCGACGCGATCGCACGATTTGCTTTGTCTCGAAGATCAGTTAGTTCGAATGCATTTTCACGCGAGACACTTGGTAAATTATGGAGAGCCGAAACATGAATCTCTATTAATCGACGTTTATTTTCATATCGTGAGACGAGAGTCTGCCAAGCGATGTCAAAATTATCCGCGGTAACCGGAATGCTCTTTAGCGATTCCAGAGCGCGGCCTGTAAGACTCGAGGTCAGAAAATGCATTCGCGCAAAGGCGGATAAGTCTCTGTTCGCGATAATGAGTGACGTGAATCGGTCACGAAAACTCTCCCAGTCCTCAAACTTTTCTGAGAACGGCGGAATATTGATCGGTGGCAAATGAGATAACGATAAAGACGACTCACACTGTTTATTACCATGACCGGCTGCTTCAGGCGCGACCACAGGTTCAATGTCCTTGAGACATTCGGTCATGTATTCGAGCGTTGTTTGATAAATATCGTAATATTCGTCGAACATCTGATTTTTGAAGTAGTCGAGCTCGCTTCTTTTAATTTCTGGAGTGCTGAGGACGATGGCTGCGTGAGTCTGCAAGCACTGCGCCCATGTTTCTTTAAGCGCGGAAATTCTCGCGCGAATCTTTGCAGCGTTGTAATTGTTTTTACCAATTTTTTTAAAATTGTCTAACGAGCGACTTATGAGACGAAGCAGCGACAGCTGCTTCACGAGCGCTTCACTCATGTTTAATTCAAAAGTCACTTAGTTTACACTACCGTTTAGATTACCGAAAAAACTGATGCACCTTAATCCGGCTCGAAGGACCAAAGTTCTATGTTCGCGAAACCAAGGCTGGAGCTGGTTTATATGTTGGAACTTAATAAAGAGGCGCTGGAAGCACTCTGAATGAATGCAGGTGTCGATTGCGGTAATTAGGTAGCGGATTAGAGCGATAGAGAACGTTGAGAGGAACGTAAGATAGAAAGAGATAGAAAGACTTGTTGTCGTCCGCTGCGCGAAACGACGATCTCGGAAAGTGAGCAAGAACTCTGAGAGACAGAGATAGGCAGAAAACGGAAAATTGGAGAAGGCAATAGAATATCGAGAGATGTCGCGAAAAAATGTCCGGTTGCACTCAACAAATTTACAAGTTTAGAAATGCGTTTATTTCTAATAAATTCACTACATAAGACCACCTTATGTGAGTCTGAGATCGAACACTCGCGACTTTTCGAACGTTTTCTATCTTAATTTTCCTTTTTTCGCTTCGTATCAAATTCAAAGAACTTCTGGCTCCGGAATCGAGGAAGCGCTTTATATACGCTGCTTGGTTTTGCCTTGGTGGCTCGAGAGGGGCACAGAGCGCTTGTTTAGAACTTTGAAAGAAACGGCTATGTAACCAAAACAAATATCGGCCTTGTTGACAGATAAACGATGATTGAACGGACGGTAATATAAGTAATGATTTTTATGCGATCGCTAACAAAAAGTTTAATGAATTTTTACATATTAAATATTACAAGATATAATAAAATAAAAAATAATTTTATAACAGCTCTGTCAACATGTTAAACGTCAGTTATAAGAACATATAGTAATATTTTTTTAAATGTTTCAGAAAGTAATATAAAAAATAGTCAAAATCAGCGCTCGGAATTAGTTGTACATTTCGAGCCGATTCCCGAGACGATGCCTCCTGTTCCCCTACTACCGCCCGGCCGCTGGCGGCCGAGCCGCCGATAGCTCTGGCTCCGGAGCATTTTATATAAGAAACAGGCTGGGTTGTTGAGACATCTCTCAGAAAATCGTAACATTTTCTCGCTACAT